CCTACCATACTTAAATGGCAATGGGATACCAATCTCTGACAAAACTAAACAAAAAAAGAGGATACAAATGAATGACCATTTTGTATATGTATATTCAAAATAGGATAGATATACAGCTACTTTCTCTTAATTCAATGGATAGAAAGATTTGTACTAATAGTGTTGGACAGGATATCATGTCTGCATCTTGTACTATGAATAACCACTATGAAGACAACAATATGCAATGTATTAATTATTGTAACTGTCCTACTAACCTGTTTTGAAACTGTCACATTGCTATTTCCTTCTTAATAAAATTAATAAAAAAATAAGAACTGGCATAGGGTCTGTCAATGTGCTGAACAGCACAGTGGTTATTAAGATTTCTACCACTCTGGTCACAGTATCATTTTTTTCCATCAACCTAAAGACATTTGTTCATGTGACATGCATATCAAGCATCCAAGGTTAAATTGATGTTGGCCACAACCAATCTCTCTCCATGTGGCTTTTCATCAGCTCTCTGGCTGGGATGTCATGAAACATCACTAGTACTGTAAGAAGAGGAACTAGATTTATGCAAGACAAAACAGCTTATGGTTACATTTGCCTTTATGGAAACTGCACAACATTCTTGGTATCATGACTTAAAAACACAAGAGCTGCTTGCTTAAAAGTGGGTGTGGATGGGTTCCAGTTGGACAGAGACCAAATGTTAGCAACCAAGAGTGGTGCTCAAAGTTTGGGGCTGCCATATGCTCAACTGCACTCACAAATTAACTGCAGTTGAAGGCTAACTGGATCCACACTCATGAGTTCATGGAAGCTGTCTAAAATTCCTTCCCAGGGCACCTGGATGCATCTTATCTGTTCTAACTTATGATGGTTCATAAAAGGCAACAGGTCAAGGATTTTTGCAAGGATTCTCTATGGCAAGTGATGACAAGTGTTATTAGATAAAGCAGTACAAGTCAATAAAAATCCAAGTTCTTTGGCTTTGTTTTGGTTTTCTACCCCTGTGATTCTAAATGGTTTTGGTAAGACATTACAAAATCACACAACATCTGATGTGTATACTGAGAAGAGAAATCAGATAGTTGCAATTGTGCATTTTGTAGAAAGAATGGACATGATACTTCTGAGCAAACAGACAACTCTACAACCCTGAAAAATATATGTCTACCTTTACAAGTTTGTACCTTACACTTTTTATGGGATATAGATAATTTTGCAAGCTGGCTAGAAACCCTCCTGGATTTGGAATATGTGGGCATGACCTTTGCAAAGGTTGTAACACAGCTCAGTTTCACGGAGGCAAAAGGTACCTAGTAGGAAGGAAAAATAGCTGGATCTTCTCTCCTTTGGAAATTATCAAGGACTAAAGTTAAATGTACATTTAGCTGGCAGGATGGCACAAATTTTTAGTTCCAGTTCTGGGAGGTTGAGGCAGGAGGGTCTCAGGTGGGGCAATCTAGCTACCTAGAGAAACTTCCTGTCTTTCCTTAAAAAAGGCTCTAGGTTCAATTCTCTCTCTCTCTCTCTCTCTCTCTCTCTCTCTCTCTCTCTCTCTCTCGCCAAAAGTACATTTATGTTATTAGATTTAATTAGTAAAGAGATTGCTTGTATTTGAATTCTAATACATGATTGTGTGTGTACCTATATATGTATACACATATGCCCATTCATTTGTTTAATTTTGCTATGTGGCACTGTCTATATCCTTTAAAATTAAGATAAATTCTCCTATGATTTAAACTCTCATTTCATGACCCTAGGTCAGCGTTTCTCATCAACACCACAATTCCAGCAGAGCAGAGGCTCAAACTTCATCCAATTCCCCTAGTGCAGTGCTCTTGCCTTATCGGCACTCAAGGTTCCAATGGAGCAGCTGGGACGTCCCCTGGGTAATGGGCACCCATGAAGAGCGCTGTGTGTGGATGAAGTACACTGAGCAAGCACAAACATACCCAGTTCTCTGAAAGGCCAGACCTGTGCTAGGATATGACCAAGCAAGAGCAGCAACTGTCCTGAATAAAGAGAGAGCCTGATTGGTCGGTCGCATCTGTGCTCAGGCACATGGCTGCTGCCATCTTCAGACTTGGTGCTCAGGCACAGTCTGGATATGCAAGTAATACATGAATGGAAGGTCACACAGAAAACAAGCCAAAACAAGGGAAATGTGCAGAGGGTCCCAGCAATTAAGGGATTCCATTTTACACTACTTTAAATTCCACTGCACCACATGGTGTGGAGTGTGCGTGGTACAATTATGGCCCACCCTGGGTGGGCATCTTTCCAGCAGCCCAGCTAACTTAGGGCCTTCTTCCCACCAACTGCCAGGCACCAGAAGTCTATGTTCCAAACGTTGTTAATTGCCTGAGGGTCGCCCTGCCAAATGGAAAATTCTAGAAGTTGGCTTCAAAACACACTGTGGGAAAATGCTAATAACGGCTGAGCGGACAATAATTGGGAAGCAAAAAGGAAACTACTTTATCAAAACTATGATCTCTCCCATGTTAAACCGAGACCCTACCATAAGATGGGATTTGATTTCATTTTCAGCTTACCTCAGCTAAAATCTGATGGGCAGTGCTTAGACTTTAGGCCAAGCAGCCTAGAAGAGAGCAGTCAATTCATCAAATAGACTCTGTGTCTTCTACTCTTATGCCTCCTGTGGAGAACTGTGCTCTTACTCACTGCACTGTATAGCACTGTGGAATAAAGTGCTGTTTTCTAAAACCCAGCTTCCCACTAGAAGCCACCAGTGATGAGTGTATTTCTCTTAGTTACAAGCTCCTGAAGTTCTGCACTCTGTGGTGTACATAGAAAGCAGCATATTTCACCATAGAAGCCTAACACTTATGGCTTTGAGCTAAGAGAATTTTACGTTAGAAAATAATTTGCATGTTCATAAACCTGCAGTGATTTCCCAAGTGTGTTTGTGTGTGTGTGTGTGTGTGTGTGTGTGTGTTGTGTTGTGTTCTTAGTTTGAGTAAGGTTGAGGTAGGAGACAAAGGTAACAAGGTAAAGGACAATTTGTTTATGTAATTAATGAAAAAGCCAAAATGAATATTATAATTTTTTTGTTACTAGGGTTTAAACTCAGGACTGCTGACCCATCTTCCTAGCCCATAAAGATGATTTAGATTTATTTATTATTATTAGGTTTTTTTGCAGAACCAGGAGTTGAACTCAGGCCTTCATGCTTGCCAGGCAAGCACTTATTCTACTGAGCCATCTCTCCTGCCCTGATTTTGATTTCTGTGTTTCCATATAGTTTGGTCCCTACATCAGGGTTGTGGCTTTGTTTATCCTGTTCTCTTATATTTTAGTACAGTCTACAACTGACGATTCCTGGTTGTTGAAGTTTGAGCTTTCAAATGAGAAGGTGCAGGTCAGGCCAGAAATCCAAACAAAACTGCTGGTTATGGGGTCAGAGCTTTGGGGCTTTGATGCTACACATCAACGAGAATGTGGAGTCGAACTGGCATTGACTTTGTCAAACTGTCTATGTGGGAGTCATTCCTAGTTGTTTTATGCAATTAGTTATAGTCTTCCAAAAGGTGAGCAATTTACTTGAACAGTGCCATTAGGTTACTTCAATGCCATGAATTATTACATTTTTCAATCTTTGAATATGTGCTATTACACAGGGAAGTCAACTTCCATTTTTTATTATTAGAAAGGAAATAAGTTGTAAGAGAAATCCTCCTTTGACATACTCTTGGACAAGGGAGTATTTAAAAATCTACAGTAGTTCATCTAGGGCCAGGGATATAGCACAGCAGCAGGAGCACTTACCTGGTAAGCTCAAGGTCCTGAGTTCAATTCCTGGTACCAAAAAAAAGTTGATCTGAAGAAATTGTTTTTATAAACTTCTTCAGATAGCAGTAATAAAAATGAAGACAGTGCTAAATGAATTGTAGGGCCCTAGCTTCGAAACTTCAACCTGGCCCCATGTAATCTCTTATTCTCTCTCTTCCCAGAAGATAGTCTTCATCTTGAATATATAGATGCCAGGTGAACATCAAATAGTCTTGGGATTTCTGTCCATGGGAAGCCACATGACATTTCATGTCTGATCGTGGTTGTCCAGATGCATCCTTTATCCAACCTAGTCCACTGTAGCTGACTATTGTGTAGAACAATGTCTATAGTTAAAATTACATGATGCCCAAACAAGTAGTCAGGCTGTAGTAATAAGCTGCAGTCTTATATTTTCATTTTTCACTAAAATCCCACGGATTTCCTATCCCAGACACTGTTCTAGCCTGAGTCTGCATCACTGGAGAACCTCATAGTTATCACATTTATTTTTTACTATTAGTTACTTATCATGGGTACTGTAGTCTGTGTAGTGCTAGACATGTAAGATGCATATGTTAAAATCCTCACCTCCAAAGTGATGGTATTAGAAGATGGCATCTTCAGGAAGTCACTGGGTCATGAGAGTGAAAACCTCATGAATGAGATTAGTGTTTTCAGATGTTTTGTTTTGCATTTTATTGGACTTTTGAGGCAAGGTTTTGACACATAGCCTAGATTGGAATTGCACTCATGAGTCTCCTGCCTCAGCCTCCCAAGTCAGAGCTGAGATTACAGGTGTGTACTACCATCCTCAGCTTTTAAAAGAGGCCCCAGAGAGACTGCTGATCCCTTCTGTCATGTGAGGATAGTCTGAGAGGACAGCTGTCTATGAGGAAATGGGCTCTCACCAGATATCACTTCTGCTGGTGCTTGATCTCTGATTGCCTGGCCTCCAGAACTATGACAAACACATTTCTGTTGTTTATAAGCAACTTAGATTATGCTGGTAGAACAGTTTGAATGGATTTAGACAACAGGAAATCTGCTTCACTTCCCAACCCAAGCACATATTACCTTGAGTAAAGATTCACAGTGTCGAAGGGCAGGAAAGAACATGAGCAAAAGAATTCAATATAGAGACACCATTTATTGCCCAATACACAGAGGATTAGTTGGGGACCCCAAGTACTCACAACTTGAATGATACTGACTTTGTAGAAGCTCTGCTGGTTGGGTCACTCCACTCTGAAAAAAAAAAAAGACATGGTTTTTGTTCACGCTTCTACTGCCAAATGATTATTCTGAATTAAGTTAGGCTCCAAACAATCACACAGTTTATTGCCTCCTGCCACAAATAACAGATGAAAAAAGGGAACTAATTGGATGTGTCAAATATAACAGGGTGTCGTTATTGTTCTTTCACATTTTAATGATACTGAGTGGGAAAGAGGGAAAAGTGAGGGAGGAAAGAACTTAGATTCTTGAACTAACAAGAATTTTGCAGAACACACTTACTGTGTAAGGTGAATCCCGGAGTCAGATGCTGGGATTCCTGTAATGAAGAACACATGATATACAAGCATGAGTTGCATGGTACAAGAGAAACAAAGTATATCTGCTATTTGCAGAGGGCATAATGACAAATGTTTGCAAATAGAAAACCACTGTTAACAATTACATTAATTAGGCTTCTGTCTGTAGCTCTGTTTGAAGGATAAATATTTGCTAGCCAAACCTGCTGCGACATGATTATAACAGCCATTTTTATCAGGATTAAAGTAAGGCTGGTGTCTATTTGGAAATATGTGCCTCATGGGAACAAATGACCCATATGTGTGAAATTCAAGGGTATAATTTCTCACTGAGCTCGGCAATGATGCCTCTACGGAAGTACAGGGGCCATCATTCAAATAAACAAATGATCATAGCTTTTGTAAAATTACAAGCAAGAATAGAATACAATTACTAGATATGAGGGCTGGTCAGATAGCTCAGAGGATTAAAGTGCATGCTTAGGCAGATACAGGGACCAGGAGTTCGATCCCTAGTGTGCCGTGCTGGCCCTGTCCCCAAGGCATGCTGAGGCAGTTATTGAGACTGGGTGTGGCGGTGTGCACCTATAATCCCAGTGCTTGGGAGGCTAAAAATAGGAGGATCATTATGAGCCTGATCTGTGTAGTGAGACCCTGTAGACCATGTACTAAATACATAAAAAAATTGCTAGGTATACTGTTTTCCTTTTTTATACAAATCACTCCAACTTTCCACCTGAGCTATAATACCTGTACTTGATTTTGTACAAAATGTTGATAAAACTTCATTACAAGTGGAAGAATAGGGAACAATTTAGAATGTAGTACTGGAGTATGTTATATAAATGGATTGGAATTTGATTTGAAAGTCAACCTTTAGACAATACATTCAATGTTTTGAGACATCTAGATTTGCACCCGTGGGGATTGCTGGGGGTGTGGCACATGTATACGAATCCTGATAACATGGCCAAGCAGAAGAACTACAGTACTGTTCAGGTGACACAGCACCATGGGCCTAGATGTGAGAATTAGCACTGATTACAAAGCAAATATTCCCAAACTAGGGCCAAAGAGTTCAAGTAAATAGAAGAATTAGCTATCAGTCAGTGCTATAAGTAATCTGAAGCTCAAGTAAGGTTGAACTTAATCTTACTACTCTATATGGAGAAATAGAAGATTACAGTATAATTTATCTGTAAAAGAAGCAAAACTGTACCACCAGGTTTTAATCTAAAGATAAGGATCCAATCTATTTACCACAGTTCTGTTACACAAAACATGAGTCTTCCTTGATAATCCCAAGAGGTGACAAAGGCTTCTGTCATGCAGTCTACACAGTTTGCTGCTCGAAGGCTCTGTCCCCTCCTTGATAAAGAACTGCCTTTTGTCAAAAAGCTCTCTACATATCTTGACCATTTGATTTCACTGCTTAGCAAATCATAGGTGGGAAAAAAGGAGAAACACTTCTAGAGGTCCAGGCACTGGAAATGAATGCTGAGATGTGCAAGAGAATGGCACAGAAGTCCACAGATAATGACACAACAAAATAAGAATTTGACAGACACAAGAGTCTGTGATCACTCGACGCAAACACACATCCTTTCCTTGCAGCCTCCAAGGGCACAATTGTGTCATAATATAATACTGCATCAAAATACAATAGCTATGTTAGCACTTTCTGTTGTCGAGAACAACTAAAGTATAGTCAGTAGAGTCTTGAAGAGAAGCCAGGAAAATACAAAACTAAGTTCAAAGTCATTTCTATTATATGACTAGTATGCAAGGAAATCCTTCAATTATCCAAGAATTCTATTTATCCAGAGCATTGTGTCTACCATTTTTATCTACTTAACTATAACATGATATCTCTGTTATTTTTCTAAGGGTTTTATTATCAAGGCACAAGTCACATTTGGACTCGCACACTTTTAGGAAATCAAATGACAAATTCCATAGCCATTTAAATCAAATATCAAATCAAGGAGTAAAACGCATAGTCAGTGTTGGTATTGGTCTTTTAAACCTGACTTGCAAGAACCTTTATCTTGAGGCCAGCGAGATAGCACAGCAGTCTAAAGCAGTCTAAAGCTCAGGCAAGCTTAGGCAAGCACGCAGGGACTGCAGTTTGATCACCCGCACCACGTTCTGCTCCAACCCTGCCCCCAGGGTGGACTGGGCCAGCCACAAAATAAAAGAAATAAAAGAAAAAAAGAAAAGAAGAAAAATCATCTCCATCTAAATATTTCAATTTCCTTAAAGTTTATTTATTTATTTTTATTTTTTTATTTTTTTGTTGGAACCGGGGATTGAACTCAGGCCCTTGCGCTTGCCAGGGAAGTGCTTATTCCACTGAGCCATCTCCCCAGCCCCTAAAGTTTATTTTTATTAGCACACATTGGCTGTACTTATTGATGACATTCATCATAGGGAATTAGTACCTACACATCATAAATCTTAATTTTTTCTTCTCTATTCTCTTCCCCCCCACCTTTAACCTCTCTTGCCCTCTCCATTTACAAAAGCTTTGTTTCCATTTTTCTTTCCAATTTTTCTTTTACCCTTTTCCCTTCTTTCCTTTCTACCTGCCCCTCCCTAGTTCCCCTTTCCTTATGAGAATTTCCTTCCTATTTCCCAATATCTATCATCCATTTGTGGGGGAGCTGAGTCTCATTATTTTTGAGTTGTTTATATATTCTAAAGATTAGTCTTTTGTTTGAGGAATACCTGGTAAAAAAGATTTCACATTCTGTGGGTTCTCTTCACTCTGTTGGTGGTTTATTTTACTGTGAGAAAGCTTTTTAATGAGATCCCAGTTGTTGATTCTTTGAAATATTTCCTGTGTGATTGAGATTTGTTCCTAAAGACTTTGCCTACACCTAAATCTTCAAGAGCTTTACCTATTCTATCTTCTGTCAGATTAAGTGTTTCCATTTTAATATTTATATATATCATATTTAATCAAGCCTATTTTGATTTTTGTTTACACCATGGAGACAGAAATGGGTCTAGGTTTAATCTTCAGCATGTGGAGAGCCAGTTGTCCAATCATATTTGAGGTTCTTTTTTTCCACTTGGGGTTTTATACCCAAACAGTCTGTTGTCTCAGAGGATCAAGGGGATGACCCATGAAGTAATAGGGTTATTTTACTCAGTGATGTAAGCAATAGATACTACATATTCTGAATATTTTTTAATGTTAAACATTAAAGCAGAAGTCCAAACAAATGAAACCATTTTGTATATTAGCAAAGTTACATGACATAGGTATTCAACCCTATTTGGAAATAGTGTGGCCATAGAAAAAATATGCATTGTTCATCCAGTAATTGTTTTTTACTATTTTTATTCATTAAAGGGAGTAAAAATAGTATTAAAACAGAAAAACTACAAATGATACAGAATTTCACTAAACAAAACAATATAAACTCCATAGTAGGTGTTGTCTTCACATTGGTTGTTCATATTACCAGATATATGCATGCAAAATTGGAAGAAAAAACAGATAAGAAATTAAGAAGAGAAAAAGGAAAAAGATTTGATAAAAGGAGACAAAACATATTAAGCAATAACTGCTCCTTTCCAAAGACCAGCTGAAATCCACAGTACAGTTGTCCAATCCATCCAGCCTACATACATAGATAAATCTCTTTTCCCCACTCCCTCTCCTGTCCTTCTCCTGAACTCAAGAATTCCTTTCTTTTGAACAGGTTCATTCTCGTTTCGCAGTATCTATTGTACCCTTCACATTTTCTTTTTCCTTTCAGGTTCTCACACAAAAGAGAAAATATGTTTGTACATATGGGTCTGATTTATTTCACCTAAGAGTATCATCTCTAGTTGCATCCATTTATCAATAAAAGCCTCAAATTGATCCTTTTTATTAACTGAATAATACTCCATTGTGTAAAAATACTGCATCTTCTTTATCCATTCCACAGTTGATGGGCATTCAAGCTGCTTCCAAGATTTAGCTATGACAAATTATAGTGCTATAAACATGAGTGCACATATATCACTGTGGTATGATGCTTTCAGTTCTTAAAAATACCTGACTTGATCTGCACATATTTGTAAATATTTCATACATACCAGAAAATATTGATGTAAAATTGTTTTCAAGAACTTACATGACACCATTTGAAGTAAATGCCTTGACAATAATCCTACAATCAGAGGCTTCTATAAGATCTAGATTCTAGAACACAGGTCAGCTAACTTTTTCCACAGGGAAAAAGAGTAGGTATTTTAAGCTTTGAGCAATCTTCTGTCTATATCACAACTACTGAACTCTGCCACTGCAGCATAAATGAGTGTGTCTGGCTTTGCAGAAAGCTTGGTTTATAGACAATGAGAATTGCATTCCACATTTATGATTTTATTTTTTGCAATACAGTGCTATTTTTGTTTTCATAATTTTAGCCATTTAAATTTTGTTAAAAACTAAAAATGTATGGGCTGTATCGTGTCAGTCTCTCTTTTAGAGGATGTTGCTTACACTAAACCCACCCTAATGACAGCAGCACTCCCTTTAATTGCGATTAGCATATACTTACCCCTTCCTTACGAGTTTTTCCATCCTCTGTGAGAAAAACATGACATTTTCAATTGGGGACTGCTGAGAAAACTTAAATTGATGATTCTTCTAATATATTTGTTTTTATGAATTTATGGGATTAGATTATTTAATCTGAGGAGGAAATGTAGGCTCGCAGGAACCATACAGCACTACACAGCCAGCACAGGGCAAGGACAGAGCCAGGATTAAAAGCTTACAGGCTCACAGTTCCTAGGATAGCACTCCGGCCCTTAGGCAAGCTCCATCCTAGATGTATGAAAAGCGATGCTTTCCAAGAGAGTAAAATCACTCAGTTATGCTGTCAACGAGGGGAAAGGCAGGTAGCCTTAACCCACCTGCAGTGGAGACAGTCACGTTGGGGAAGATGCAGTCCTAACTGGACCCTCAGAGATTCCTGCTGTTTGAACCCCTAGATCTAAATGCTGATTCCCTCATTTATGA